ATGTACGGCGGTTTAAGAAATTATTAACGTTTATTTTTTATTTGTTTTACAAATGCAAATTTGTCCCCTTCTCTGTTATAGGCCTATCTGTTCAACATTGTTTAATTTTGTTCTGAAAATTATTGCCTTTTTGATGTTGATGATGGTAATATATTTTGAATTAACACGAGTCCAGGGTCCGGGTAAATATAAGGCCTACTGTTTTTTTCTATATAACAACTTCTTCATACATGCATGCATTATATAGGGATTCAGTAGGCCTATACATTAACAATGCAAAAGTGAATTTTCTTTCAACTAAACCTTTTTTCGTTGTTGCTCTCTCTATTTATTATTTGATTGAGTGATGGGCGTGAACTTATATATATTATAAAACCACGTACCGTACATACTCATATGCTACTCTCTACCAGGGCCGCAGTTATTATTGTGGACATTTTTTGCTGAGAGCCAAAATGACAGTCTATTTATCTTTAGATATATCTGTGAATATCTGTGGAAAATCAATCTGTCGCCCTGGTAGAGGGTAGGCCTACCCATATGCCACGTACTGTTGCTTAAAAGTCACAAAGCTTAGTAACTTAAAAATCTTGGATATAATAACGCTTAAATTAAATTGGTAGGGCCTATATTGGGTGTATCATAATAAGATACTTAATACTAAAGTGAATCAAGTTCTAGAAAAGGTTCACGTATTATTTAATTAAAAGCAAAATCCCTCTCCTTGCTAATTCTAGTATTGTTGATGTTCTACTGCTGCGCCATCTATTACTGTCCTGATTTGCCTGTGTCCTGATTTGCCGTTTCCGCCATTTTCTGACCTGGATTGCCGGTTTCTCCTAAAGCGAGTCTGCGTCCTCTCAGGGTAACTGATGGGTCGACGTTAGTTCCAAGACTCAAGTCTAAGGTCCACCGCGCACTTGCATTGCGCATGTGACGTCAGTCAATAACAAAAACAAATTTATCGCATGCTGTTGCATTGCTGTCTTCTCAGTTAAAATTCAAGTAAGAACTTTAGTTTTGCGGTTTTCTTCGTTTGATTTGAAATGACGATTTAAGTGTATATCTTGTAAGTTGAATGTCCTCTTATTTTTTATCTAATTTGAATAAAAGAACTATGTTTTGTCTTTAGTCAGTTTAATTTTGAACTTCATTTTTACCCGTCTCGTGAAAGCGATATATATAGGCTATACATTAGCGTTTTTGGTACCTACTGTACAGTAGTAGTACACTGTGGTAATACATGTGCCTCTCACAATAGTCATGGTGGTGCAAATGTCCGTCTAATTAAACATTTTGACGAAGTACAAAATCACACAAATATATATATACTTGACTAGAATAAAAAATTTTAGAGGCAGGTTAATTGTTTATTTTCTCTCTTTAAAAACACACATTTATTTTAAAAGTATTATATTGTCATATTTTAAAAGTCACACTAAGCTAGCCCAGAATGCAAAATTAAAAAATATTATTAGATTTTTGTGATGTCCCTTGTTATTCCTCTTCTTCTTCTTATAATTATTATACCATTAATTCAAGCTGTAATTTTTATATCTAAATCATTCCTATTGAAAAAAATAATAAATATCATGATTGTTGTATTCTAACCAATGCATAACTTCCATTTGGATATACCATAGTGTTCCCATCAAATGTTGTGGACGACATTAATTTTGCTAGTTAAGAAAAAAAGAATTTGTAGATTTTTTTCTTTTATTGGCATTAAAGACAATTATTATAAATTCAAGAAATTTGCCAAGAAACTCCACTGGATCATTCAAGCTATTTATTTGATATTTGGTGATCATTTCAGCATCTTTCCTTTCAGCATACTTTATGAATAATATGTTAGAAGTAATTGAAAGTTTAATGGTAAAATATTGGCTTAATTCTCGTTCAGCAGAATTGTCTCATTGTTTCTTGTGCATAGGACTGCATTGTGGCGGCATCTGCATCAGGAAGGTATTCAACTCATTTGTTACACAATCTGCATGGTGTAAGCACTCAGCATAGTTGGACCCCTTTGCAAATTTTGGACAAACGGTACCCTCTACCAGTGCGGCAGGTTATATAGGGAAATATGGAAAATCCACCCTGTGACCTTTGGCTAGTTGATAGTGAAGATATATATATGATTATATAATATATATATATATTTGAAAGCGTATGTTTCATTTTGCAGAATGATTGACCCCAAACCACATAATACAAGGATTTACAGTTTAGCCGTAGGATTATGTACAAAAAAATAAAAACAATTCTTATTCATGTGTACATTACAGAATACGTTACTCTTATTTCACCTATATACCGTACATTTCAGGTTTCAGGCCTTGCATGTACAAGGCACTGGTACAGTACCTTTGGGTTCACAAAACTGCTGCAATAGTTGTGAAATATCATTCCTCTTCGTTTGTTGCAGGCCTACATTTTAGTCTTCAGTCATTAGCTTCCACCCTGAGCTTCAGAGCTAACTTGACACTAACCTTTTCACTGTAGCCTATCTCCATCGTGTCAAGTAACTTGACACGATGGAGATAGGCTACAGTGAAAAGGTTAGTGTCAAGTTAGCTCTGAAGCTCAGGGTGTTAGCTTCCTTCACAAGCTAAGATTCACTGCATGGAAAAAATGTTCCATTGTATCCTTGTAGATCACTGGACCTGTTGTGATCATGAACTAAGGGAAGAATGCAAATCCTCCTTCAAATTAATTTTTTATTGGGGGTATGGGGTATGGGTATGCCTCAGAATTTGTATTTTCCTTATATTTAAGGTTTAAATTCACGTTTGTTATCAGAAGTTTGTTGCAGTCTGGTTAGTTTCAGAAAACAAAGAGATTTTAAACAGACTTTTATTGAAGTATCCAACAAAGTACCATGTTAAATTGGTCCTGTTATATTTGCGACAGGATGCGCGGGTGAAAAATACGGTTTTCTAAGTGCATTGAAAGATGTTTTATTCATTGATTGTGCGGAATGGAATTTACCCATTTAACAAACGAAAGCGGGCTTCATAGACGTTTTATGGTAATCACAGTAGACGTGTTATGGCAGACATGTAAATGTGACAGTTTTTATACTCTCTGCTAACATGCTAATTCGACAGTAACCTATCTGAATAAAAAACATTAAATATTATTATTATGCCTTCTACTAAGTGCACATATATTCAGTAGATATTCCCGTACAAATAATTTACACTTTACTGTACTGTGAAAATATAAGTATAGAATGGAAGCCATCACGCCTTTAACAGCTGGGCCTTGCGTGGTGGACACTTTCAGTTGTCCCAGGGTGATTTTCCAACTTACGATGCGTCATGAACGCCGTGAAGGCAAATGTGACGGACCTGAAAGAGAAGCAATTTAAAATGTAACGATTTGCTGCTGCTCTATTGAAGAATTTGAATGAAGAGCTCGATGACAACACCAAATTCAACCCCTGTGGGCACTTTTACTCCGAGCACATATTAAGTGTAAAGTATTATAGAGACAAAATGATAGAATTATCAATCTACTTCCGTCTTGGGCGTTCACCCCCCCCACTCCCACCCCTGCATGAATCTATTTACTGAAACCAATAACTTGATCTCCCTAAATGTTTTAATTTGCAAATGTTTAAGAGAGTAAACGTGCAGTACTGTCCGTAAAAAATATTTTGTCTGTCTTCGATTCTAATAAATAGCGGTTGTGAATATGGGACAGTTTAAGCTGAGACAAAATACAAAATCGCAAAAACATTTTCCTTAAGATAAAACGTTCTTGATTTTTTCCTTACATTGACGTTTGGTGGAGCCTCNTTCACCTATATACCGTACATTTCAGGTTTCAGGCCTTGCATGTACAAGGCACTGGTACAGTACCTTTGGGTTCACAAAACTGCTGCAATAGTTGTGAAATATCATTCCTCTTCGTTTGTTGCAGGCCTACATTTTAGTCTTCAGTCATTAGCTTCCACCCTGAGCTTCAGAGCTAACTTGACACTAACCTTTTCACTGTAGCCTATCTCCATCGTGTCAAGTAACTTGACACGATGGAGATAGGCTACAGTGAAAAGGTTAGTGTCAAGTTAGCTCTGAAGCTCAGGGTGTTAGCTTCCTTCACAAGCTAAGATTCACTGCATGGAAAAAATGTTCCATTGTATCCTTGTAGATCACTGGACCTGTTGTGATCATGAACTAAGGGAAGAATGCAAATCCTCCTTCAAATTAATTTTTTATTGGGGGTATGGGGTATGGGTATGCCTCAGAATTTGTATTTTCCTTATATTTAAGGTTTAAATTCACGTTTGTTATCAGAAGTTTGTTGCAGTCTGGTTAGTTTCAGAAAACAAAGAGATTTTAAACAGACTTTTATTGAAGTATCCAACAAAGTACCATGTTAAATTGGTCCTGTTATATTTGCGACAGGATGCGCGGGTGAAAAATACGGTTTTCTAAGTGCATTGAAAGATGTTTTATTCATTGATTGTGCGGAATGGAATTTACCCATTTAACAAACGAAAGCGGGCTTCATAGACGTTTTATGGTAATCACAGTAGACGTGTTATGGCAGACATGTAAATGTGACAGTTTTTATACTCTCTGCTAACATGCTAATTCGACAGTAACCTATCTGAATAAAAAACATTAAATATTATTATTATGCCTTCTACTAAGTGCACATATATTCAGTAGATATTCCCGTACAAATAATTTACACTTTACTGTACTGTGAAAATATAAGTATAGAATGGAAGCCATCACGCCTTTAACAGCTGGGCCTTGCGTGGTGGACACTTTCAGTTGTCCCAGGGTGATTTTCCAACTTACGATGCGTCATGAACGCCGTGAAGGCAAATGTGACGGACCTGAAAGAGAAGCAATTTAAAATGTAACGATTTGCTGCTGCTCTATTGAAGAATTTGAATGAAGAGCTCGATGACAACACCAAATTCAACCCCTGTGGGCACTTTTACTCCGAGCACATATTAAGTGTAAAGTATTATAGAGACAAAATGATAGAATTATCAATCTACTTCCGTCTTGGGCGTTCACCCCCCCCACTCCCACCCCTGCATGAATCTATTTACTGAAACCAATAACTTGATCTCCCTAAATGTTTTAATTTGCAAATGTTTAAGAGAGTAAACGTGCAGTACTGTCCGTAAAAAATATTTTGTCTGTCTTCGATTCTAATAAATAGCGGTTGTGAATATGGGACAGTTTAAGCTGAGACAAAATACAAAATCGCAAAAACATTTTCCTTAAGATAAAACGTTCTTGATTTTTTCCTTACATTGACGTTTGGTGGAGCCTCAAGTACATAAGTCACAGCGGAAGCCACGTCGTCCGGTTGAAGAGACTGAAATATATAAAAAATACAGTTACTAATAACGTCATAAGATAGAGACTCGTCAATTTCACTCGTGACAGTAAAATTAAAGAATTGAATGCCCAAAGCCAGGATTATAGATCGTATTTTTCTGATTGGTTTGGGATAGGGCAAACATATAACTAAAATTACAAGAAGGATTCACTTTTCTGTAATTTTAAAGGTGTTATTCCAGCTTAAAAAGGAAAACAAAGGCAGCTCAAAGAGCTAAGGAATTGGAAATCCCACACAGAAGCTCACAATATCAATTAAAAATTATGCGAATCACGGTAGAATACAATAAAATAAGAATACCAAAGTCTTTTTCAATTTTATTTGAACTCATAAAAGACGTTAGTCTACTTCAAAAATTTAAAGAATAAAAAAAGGTAATGCTGAAATATAAAATGCATTATACGATTAAAAATCTTTAATTTTATTGTCATTAGTGAAATTGAGGAGTCTCTTTCATCATTGCAAGAGTCGCCGTGGGAGTGACGTAAAATCAATCTAGAACCCCAGAACCAAGAGAAAAGGTTTTATGGGCCGTAATTACGTGGACATAGGATGTGGTATACCTTGCTGATAAATTGAAAATTTAATTCAAATTAAAATAATTTAAATTCTGCTGCATAAAATCCTAGCGCCCAGTGCCTACCTTTGACTTCATGCCCTTCTAATAATGTGAATGTGATTTTAAAGGGATAATAACTCTTCGTATGAGATCTATATTTCACAATAAAAACATTGTGAATAACTCATAGAAATATAATATATTCTGTTTTACCACAAAAACGGCAGTTATAGCTATTATTCTGATATCTGAGCTTGTCTTTAGACCATGTGACCTCCATTGATGGCTATATTCTGTTAAAATCTCTTAAGAGATCTTAACAAAAAACCAAACTTTTTAGAAAAAAACCAGGGACTAACTTTGTATGTAAAAATGGATTCATTAACCATTGGTAAGTATGGGAAAATTGTTGTTTACTCCAGGAAAATTAATTTTTTGGCCGAAACGAAGAGTTCTTATCCCTTTAACTTGTCGTATTCAAGGTTGATATACGTTAGAAAACGAGTCTTCATCCCCTTTGAAAGACACAAATCAGAGATTGTGATCATACATTATACATTGATAAATAAAAATAAAAAGCGCGTAAGTGTATATTATACATGTAATAAAGCTTACTTTTCCCGGTTCAAACACATTTTCAGTATTTTTCACATTAACAAGCGGGGTATTCACCCATCCAGGATTAATAATCTGAAAAACAGAACATTCATTTAAACACCGGGGCCCAGTTTTATCAACAATGGATAGCGCTATCCACTGGATAACACTATCCATTAAATAAAATTGTTATCCTCTGGGCAATTATCCTGTGGGTAAAGTAATGTTTACCAAACACTAGATACTTATTTTTGTCTCTAATATTGCTTTCCAGTGGTTAAAAGAGGCTGCTATCCTCAAGAAAACTGTCCAGAGGATAACAATTTTATCCTATCCAGTGTTGATGAAACTGGGCCCAGAAAGTAAGTAAAAGATATCCGTTCAAATATCATTTGAAACTATATCCTTTGGTTTTTCTTGAATTACACTATTTGAAACTGTATGGCGGCATTTAGTTAGCTTTTGCGGCAAAATTTTGACTTGAAATGAATCTTAAAAAAAAAATATATATATATATATATATATATATATATATATATATATATATATATATATATATATATATATATATATACAAGATGCAGGTAATACACATACAAAACCATCTTTATTAGTTCATTACCTTAAAACATTTTTAATTCACACATACTGGCTTTTGCAATCTAAATTTTCTTTGCTTATTACTGTAACCCTAATATACCAGCAAACAATGATAAATTATTGACTTAATTGTACTTTCAGCTGAGCATACAAAATTCAAATATTAGGCTCTCTCTCTTCTCTCTCTCTCTCTCTCTCTCTCACACACACACACACACACACACACACACACACACACACAGTATCAACATCATACATTTGTTCTCTCTCTATCTCTCTTTCTCACAAATACCGTCGTCCTAATTTTCGTCTTCTCCTTCCTCAGCTCGTGTCTCAGACTCTCGGTGAAGGCCCCCAGGGCAAACTTTGCAGTGCTGTATGTATGACACGGGTAGTCAGTATGAATCACCATACCACATGCACTGTAATTGAATAAGATAACTATATATACATATATTTCACAGGTGGGGTTAGGGTTTTGCTTTACCGGTGTGACGTGACAGACACTCCACCATAATATAGTCCGGTTCCCATTGATTTGCACGTGTAAGCAGCACCCAAGATTTTGGCCCACTTACGTCAGGCTACATTTCCTCTTGATTATTATTATTATTATTATTATTATTATTAAGAAACGCTTCCTATGCGTTTAAGTGTTGTTTCCAATATTAAATTAATTCATACGGCTTAGCAATTAATGATACGTAACGTTTTGCCTAATATGACCATGGCAAAAAAAAATTAGGACCAACGTCAACATAGATGTACACATTGTTTGTCTATACCATTCTAGTAAGTGACCATGACCCAACCATAATTCTATTTTCTACTCATCTGCTGTGCAGATGTATCTTAATTCACCTGCCAATGTTGATGATGTGTCCGTCATCCATGTTCCTTTCCTGTAAAGACCTGATGGTCAGCTGGGAAACGGTCATGGCGGCGAAAAAATTCACCTGGAACAATTACTGGCGTCTTAAACAAAGGCTGTCCCTTACGGACCATTCCCAAACTACTGAATGTGGAATCGATCTATCTCCGAGGGGATTCTCGCTAAATTGCAATCAACTTAAGCGGCTTAGATGCCTGTCACGCCTACTGAAGCTGCTAGGGGGTACTTAATTATCGTTTAGCAGCTTCAGTAGGCGTGCCAGATATCTAAGCCGCTTAAGCTGAAAGCAATTTAGCGAGAAACCCCTAATAGATAGATCGATCCTGTTAGATCGATTTAGGTATGGGAACCCAGTCTTATACTTTGGAGAATGATCATTTTAAAAGCAACTGGATGACCTTAAATCTGGTGCTAACTACCTATTATGTAATCTGAAAGATATTCTCCAACCTCAAATCACAAAGATACGCTCCCAACTCAAATATCAAAGTTCCTGTCCATCTAAGATAAACTCTACAATCAGTGTGAGCTACATAAAGATCTTCGTCAGAAAGACCAGCTTCAGCTATACCCTGTCTGATGAAATAACAGTGATAGTTAAAGAACAATTTACAATCGTCGATAAATTAAATTTCATTAATCGCAAATAACCAGGATTAAATTAGAAAAAAAATATTAAAAGCTTTGGATTACTTGTGTAAAGTAATTGTTGAAGTTTGTGGGGAGTCAAAAGATTTGAAAAGTTCTGTTACACAAAATGCCAAAATTGTCTCCGTAGTGCAAGTGTTAACAACATTAAAATATTTAAGCTTAATCCTGGCACTAACAGTGATGACATAATTTTAAAAAAATGATGGTTGAACAGTTCACTTACGTCATACAACGCCTTGGTATCAGTCACAGACCCTGATTTGCAGTCTTGGAAAAAGGAGATCCCAGCGTTGTTAACGCATACGTCCGCACCGCCCAACTGTTCCTTGATTTCTTGAAACATGGACTCTATCTCTTCTGTTTTGGAAAGGTCGCATTTCATTGGTATTAAACGGCCCTTTTCGCTTGCAAGATTTTCCTTTGCAATCTGGAATGTGTTTATTTTAAAATGTGTTTATCACATTTTAAAATGTGTTTATCTTATATCTTCATTAACATAAGGTTTATTTATTGGCCGATAATGTTTTGTGGTGTTGACGCCGTTTTTCTGCCCATCAAATGTCTGTATGCCTGCGTACAAATCAACCAAACCTATGAAAAGTTCTTAAATGTGTTTAACCAACAATGTAATGGCATTATAATTAATCAAAAATACCAATGAAAATTCAACCATACTTGCATATCTTCCACGTGTCTGGCACATCCAACCACCACCATACCATTCTTAACCAGAGCACGTGCAATGGCTGCTCCTATCCCTTTCGATGCTCCTGTTACCAGGGCAACGCGTCCTGCCCAGCGATCCATATCTAAAATGATTGCATGCTCAGAGTCAAGCCAAGACCAATCGCAAAATATATGCATTGTAAGCGGTGATGATTGCATAAAAAAGGTTCCCAGTGTACTTAAGTGTGAGTACAACTTATAATTTTATTAGAAGATTTGTGTCCAGAATACATTATTTTGACAAATGGCATATCTTTTGGCTCAGTAAAATATGAAACAGAATCTCAAAGTGCATTCGGGACAGCGGACTAACAGATCCGCGGATCAAATATGGCGACCCTCTAAAAAGCTTGCCGCTTTATTCCCGATTAGACACTGAATAGATTTCCCGCGAGGATTACGCAACAAGCATTCAAGAAGGTCGGCCATATTTGATCCGGGTATCTATTAGTCTGTTGTTCTGAATGTTCTTCCAGTTTCTATCATGCCTGTCACAGACCATACTAGTGAACTCGTTACTCTGAGGCCAACGTTTAATTTTTTTTTTTCAAAATACGACTGACTGGCAGATCTTTGAGTTATCAATGATAGCTGAAATATTGACTGCGCAATTTGTCTCCTCTTGTTATAAAACAGGAGGACCATTTCGTTTAATTGGACTGTTAAAGACTTTGGGGCCATTCAACATGAATTTTATCGACCTAGCTACTGCGCACGGGGACTCCGATCGCAACAGACTAGTATATGCGTATGCCTAAACTTAATTTAGCCTCTTTACACTGGACTGCGTCCTTTGTACGTCCTGCAGTACGGCCCCGATTGAGAGTAAATAAAAATTTTACGTGCCGAACAACTGGCCGAGCATAAAGCATTCATTTTACAGCCAAAGCGATGCTTGTACCTCTTTTCACGAGCACAGCGATGCCATTTCATGGTCGCACAAAGGGGGGCGTCTCGATAGTCCGAAGGTTCATTGGTCCGAAAAATGGTAACATTTTCATCGTTTTTTTTAAAATAAAAGGTTCATTGGTCCGAAGGTTAATAGTGAATATTCGGACCAATAAACTTTCCGACTATGGAACCTTCGGACTATTGCTAGGGGCACAAAGAACGCAGAAAGGACCCCATCCAGCGTACAGGGAGTTTAACAGACTAACACGCCTCCTCCAGGCGTCGAGTAGTATAGAGAAAAACTGGTGATAATACGAGCACGTTGAATGGTAATCCACCAATTGTATTACATGTGTATTATACAAGGTCATGATAATATATGTTCCACTACAGAATTGAATTGAATTAAATTGAATTCATCAATACAATTGTACAGACGTCATGTTACTTTCTTAATACTGACCCCTCTGTTGCTGCTTAAATTCTTGAAGACCTCTTTTAAGAGTTAAAACGTTTGTCCGACGGGTGACTGCGTACACTGCGGCGCTGTTGTTTAACAATGCGGAATATTTTCAGGAGGGCATCAGTTACCCTGGTGCATTGAAATACCTTTAAGGGAATTCCGAGGTCACTGACCTGCCCCAACAAGTCACATAGCCCAAACCTCACATCCCCAAAATCTAATAAGCAACCCGGCTGTTTTCTAGGGAAATAAACTGAATGTCTCATCGACGGCTAGTCGACTTTTTGAAGAAAAGCCTTGACTAAAAGTTAAGGCCAGCTTTTCGGACAGAGGTCTGCTGAAGTGCTTTGGCCTGCATTGACCTTCCAGGTTACTCGTGCGTAAGGGTCATTGCCTCGTCTTCAATTTAACTAGCTATGACCGCATTCTGACAGATCGACCGCGTCGATTCACGTAGATCAACCCAACTCTAAGGAGACTCTAGCTAAGTGCAATCAGCTTAACCGATGTGTCTATGGGAATGGGGCCTTAGATTGTTTTAGTGATGAAGATTGTTTTTGGAGGGTCTGCGCCATCCCTACATGTACATAACGGGGTACTATACACACAATATAGAGGGGTTATTTTAATAATCTCTGACTCCTGACTAGTGAATATAAGACAAACAAGCTTCAGATGTCACCTTAACTCAGTTAAATCTAATCTATTCTCATTTTTACCAACTTAATGCCTTGTTGATTGCTTAAACGTATTTTAATTAAGTGCGCCCCTAACAGGCCGAGTAGTGCACGCACAAAACAAAGAAATATCATTGCCACAAAGAACCACCAAATACACATGTACCATTTCTTATAGTTAGAGTTAATTAATTGATCCCGTCTCTGTAACAAGGGATATCCCGTGATGTTCTCCACACACAATGAGCCTATAATTACCATGCACCTGAATCATTTATTATTCCAAATTTTAAATCATTTCTGTTATACATGGAGGCTACCTTTAGATTTTGTAGGAGGCTTCTTGGACTGTTGAACTAGAACGTCTTGCTGCAGATCTTTCGTCGTTTTATGGTTATGTTTTGTTGTGAGTTCTGCTTTATTACATTCAAGATTCCCGCGTCAAGTCACATGGTACCAGGTGTCATGCGACACCTGGCGTGACGCGTAAACAATACATAGACTAATACACTACATTCCTCCCCATCATATTTTCAAAACATGCTTATATACAAACCACTGATGATTAAGATAAGTGTGAAGTAATTACAATTGCTGAAATAATTTTAACATGCATACGGATTACACTTTATCAACAGCATCTTAGTCAACCCTTGCTTTAAATGACAATGTTATGTATTATATGCCCTACATCAGCACAGTTAGTGATAATGAGATCTATTTTTGTGCATAGTAAATAATAATTGTACATATTATTGCATATTAACGGCACAAATAAATACATTATTTACTTATAGCTATAAGGTAACATGTTGTGTTAAACAGTGCATACTTTCAAGTCCCATATTTTTTTTTTAATATAAATGTGCATGCATTACTGCATAAACGGCACATATGAACTTTACTAATTATGCTAAATCTGCATTATCAACATGACACATGCACTTTACTCACAAGACTGTACTGTGCATCCAAACAGCTTCAAAATACATACAACTTTTACAAATGCCTTGATAAAGAAAATGTATAATTGTGTCACTTATGTGAATACAATATTAAATGCAAATACAGGCTCAGTATAATGTAGCCAATGTATGTATGGAAAACATAGTCAATGTTTGGTTCAAAGTCACTAGAGTTCACGGAAAATGTCCCATTATCTCAGTAAATTGTCCTTGGTATAACATATTGTAGCAGATATCGCTGTCACATATGATAATAACAACCTCGTTAGTTCTGAGTCTTCCTCTCAACAATAACGTATTGGAGGTATAACTGTTCTGCCACTTCTCGTAACAACAGCATCTTTGACAGTTCCATCACTTTGTGGTTGGTCATCACCCATGTTAGCAGGAGTCACACATTTAACTTTTGAGGGTTTTAGGGCCCCCCTTCCCCTACAGGGCTTTAAGTGATCATGATGCACCACCACAACTTTTCTTTTTGTTTTTATCTTATACAAAATTGGAGAAAGCACCTCAATAATTTTGAAGGGACCGAGCCATACAGGCTGTAATTTCTTTGAACGACCGGGTTTTGACATGTTATTATATCTATACACTAGGTCACCCTTACAGTATTGTGTTTGTCTGGCATTTGCGTCATAGTACGCTTTTTGTGTCCTTAAATTCTCGCCGAGACATTTTCTGGCCAACTCGTGAACGCTCTCTAGCTTTTCTTTTAATTGCATGACATAGCTATTTGGTTCAACATCTCCTTGAATAGATTTTAAACCAAACGTAAAATCAATGGGCTGTCTAGTTTCCCTTCCAAACATCAACATGTTTGGGGTCAGACCTGTTTGTCTGTTAGGGACCGCCCTGATTGCGCTAGTAATTAAAGATAAATGCTCATCCCAATTACTGTCCTGTCCTTCCAAATAACACCGTATGCACTGCATGATAGTCCTATTCTGACGCTCCACAGCGCCATTTGAACACGGCCTGTACGGACTAGTTTGGGTTTTGTTAATAGACAGTAAACTGCAAACATTACTAAACAATTCACTTGTAAAATTGGCACCCATGTCGGAATGTATGATGGTCGGACAACCAAACCTAGCAATGAAATTGTTCACCAATGTTTTGCTAACTGTATCTGCAGTTTGATCCGGTAATGGATACGCTTCCACCCATTTAGTGAACTGACACACGACAACTAAAATGTACTTATTCCCTGATTTACTGGGAGTAAGTGGTCCTAAAATATCTATGTGAACTCTCTCTAAAGGTGCACCGGCATGGAAATTTTGCAATTCAGCTCTGAATTTCCTGCTTGCTTTTTTATTTTTTTCACAAGCCACACATGAGTTGACATACAGTTTGCAGTCGGTAGTCATTCCATACCAAAATACACTTTGTCTCAGCTTAGAAAGAGTCCGAGCAATCCCCTGATGACCTGAAATAACAGGGTCATGACACAAAGATAAGGCTTCCTGTTGAAATTCTTTGGGTAATACCAAAAGAGGGTTAAAAGAGCCCTTATCAAATCTGCTGTAATATAAAACACCATCCTTCATGGACAGCAAATTGAAATTTGTCCATAAAAATTTCACAGCTGTCGAGCATAGTTGCAACTCCTCTTGAGAAGGACTTACATTTTCCTCAATCCAACCTATCACCTTTAATAAGTGAGGATCTTTTAATTGCGCTTCTCTGAGTTGACTTGCTGTATACTTTGCAAACAATTCAACATTCCCAGTATTTTCCTTGGATGGGTCTACAGCAGGTGTAACAGTTTTCACGCTTCTTAGAGACAGGGACCCTATGTAATCGACATCTTTGTTAAATCTGTCCCACTCTTCATGAAGCCTGGTACAGTGATGACAGCCTCCACAAGGTAACTTTGTCACATCACAACCAGCTTCATAGTAATTACAGTCCTTGTGCTGAAGAGGGATTCGTGACAACGAATCAGCATTACTGTGGTTTTTACCCGATCTGTGCTGAATTTCGAAATCATACTGGGCCAATTCCTCCATCCACCTTGCTAAAACACCATTGAGCAATTTAAAACGCATGATCCAAGTCAAACTGCAATGATCTGTCCTTATTACAAACTTTCTACCAAGTAGATAGTGCCTGTATTGCCGAGTAAATCGGACTACTGCTAAAAGCTCCTTTTTAGTCGTGCAATAACGGCGTTGACTAGGAGTGAGAGCAAAACTGCCATAACTAATGACCTTTTCAGTGTCATTTTGCACCTGTATGAGCTCAGCTCCAATACAAGTATCACTGGCGTCCGTGTCTAAAATAAATAAACCATCACTGTCTGGAAAGCTCAGCACGGGACTATGGACCAAAGCCTGTTTCAAGTCATTGAATGCAACTTCGTGTTCATTAGTCCAATCAAAAACACTTTTGTTTTTGGTCAAATCATACAGTATACCAGACATAGCAGCAAAACATTTTATGTGACTTCTATGGTAATTAACTAGACCAAGAAATCTTTCCACATCTTTCTTACATTTTGGACGTGGCCAACGTTGAACTGCTTTTATACTGTCAGGATTTGGAGCAATGCCATTCTCATCTACCAATTTACCCAAATAGAGAACACTCCTTTTGAGTAATGAACACTTGGATGGTTTTAATTTCAATCCATTTTCTTTGAATCTATCCAACACCAGTGCAATATTGGCTATAGAATCATCAAAACTGTTCCCAAGCACAACAACATCATCCAAGTAAGCGAGTACTTGTCTCCACGTCAAACCATGCAGAACTGAATTGACTGCTCGCATGAAAGTAGCAGGGCTGTTAGTCAAACCAAACGGTAGTCTCTTAAACTCAAACAAACCGTACTTGGTCATAAAAGCGGTTTTAGGCCGGGAGCTTTCCTCAACTTCAACCTGATAATAAGCACAGTTCATATCAAGAGTGCTGAAATACCGAGTGCCCGCTAAAACATCTAAGCATTCGTCTATTTGCGGTAGTGGATACACATCCTTAACGGTCACTTTATTTAAAGCACGAAAATCTATGCAATATCTCAAAGTGCCGTCCTTTTTTCTCACTAAAACAGGAGAGGATGCCCATTCGGAACAAGAGGGTTGCACAATGTCAGCGGCTAACAATTTATCTAATGTTGCCTTTTCCTCTTGCTCGAAACCCAGAGGTGTGCGTCTCAGTCTTTGTTTAATAGGCTTTGCTTCGTTGGTATCAATTCTATGTTTAATCTTTGTAAAATGACCGATATCAAATTCAGATTTGGAAAAAACATCGGCATATTTTATCAAAAGATTGCCTAATTTGAGAGACTGCTCATCAGACAAATCCTCACTAGATCGTTTCCACAAATCACGCACGTGTTCAGGAATATTATTCTCCACATCGTTAGAGTTCACATCAACTTTCAACACCGAGAAAGACTGGTGCACATTCGAACTGTCAAAACTCTCAGGATATCCCAGTAC